GTACAAACACCCCGCCAAACCACTGCCTAGCATCAGGGCAGAAGATGCTTAGACTCTCCTCCAAATGAGACACGGCCACTCTCTTCCCGTGTGGACTGTTTTAGCTGCATTTTGTCTGTGACAGGCACGGTTCTTACCCTGAGCCAAGTCCCCCAGCACAACAGCAAGAGCTAAGGCACTCACAGCACATGGGGAGGAATGGAGAGGATCCCTCCAGGGAACTCTGCTCTGAAGATCCTAGCAAGTACAATGACTCCCTGTGAAGAACAGGGCCCAACACGAGACACCAATTCTTTTGTCAACACATGACTTTGAAGCAGAAGTCAGAAGTATGTGGGTTCTGGTCTGGTTTGCTTGAAAGTACTTTTGAACACAACAGTTCTGTTTCAAACTGGATCCAAACAAGACCTGGGGAAACAAGATTTAGTTTTTTCCCAGTTTAAATGGGATCTGATTCTTTGCACATGGCAACACTGATCAATAGTCAGAAGTGGGAGCAAGAGGAGCCTTGTGAAGGAAACAGCTGCCTCTGCCAGCAAAAGCAGGGGGTACAAATAAGAAGCAATTAATCCTGAACGTTGGTCTCTCCTCTGAAGAGGGACCAATGCCTAAGTCAGACTGAATCCTTGCTGGAAACCTTCTAGGAAGGAGAATTTCACTCCTCACTCTTAGTATTTGGTATCAGAAGAGCTTTAGGCACTCAGGGGTTGGCTGACACTTTGGGGCAGGCTAGTCCCGGTGCAGCTGAGTCACTCTCCTTCCACATGGGAGGACAGTATCCGAACACCATTCCACTGCTGAGGGGAAAGCTGGCACAGGGACACAGCAGCCTCACAAGTGACGTGAAGGAAGCGGGACACGTTCTCCCAAAAGACATCTGGGGCTGGCAGGACGCGGCTGTGCATTCATGCCCTGCTCAGAAATGCCACCGGGAAGCGCATGCACAGTGTGCGTGCGGCCTGTGAGCAGGCTGCAGCCAGCGACGCTCATTAGGAACCCAGGAAAGCCATTCCTGCTGGCTTCAGCGGGCTTCAAGAGACAGCACAAAGAAACACCTTCAGGTTTAGCTGCCAGTTATTTAAGGAATAGACACACACACACACACACACACAGAGAGAGAGTCAGGCACACACAAGTTTCCTTGTGAGGAAATACAGATAAAATTCAGACTGACCCTTTGCTTAAGGCAGGTGTTTGAACAGACAGCTCGACTGGAGAATCAGGGAAGTTCAGGTATTTTTATGTCACTGTGCTTGGAGGGTTTGGGGAAGGATGCGCTACAAGGGCTTTCAAGCATCAGGCTGAATATTTGCTTTCATGCAGCACTTCTTAGGGCAAGCTGGCTGTCCTTCTGCTTCCAAGCTCTCCTGCCTTGGTGCCATGAACCAGGAGAGAAGAGGCTTGTTTAAAGTTTGAAAGTGTTTTCTTCTGAGAAATTTCCAGCCTTGAAAAAGCAGCAGGCCGCTGAAGCTGAAAGCTCTTAACGCGTAGGTACCGACCTCCGAAACGGTTTCCCCACCGTCCGGCCGCTGCGGGCGCACGTCTCTACCCGAGCTGGCTCGGCCTCTTCCCCCTGCCACCGCAGGGGC